CCCTACCTGGTGCCTGTGAGGTTGGGTATGGGACCAAGTGCTGTGCCGGAGCCTCACCTTGTCCGTCAGCGCGACCTGGCAGCCGGGCTGGTCCAAGAGGAGTTTGACGATGTCGGCGTTGCCCTGCCGACAGGCAACCATCAGGGCCGTCGTCCCCTCCTCGTCCTGCAGGTTGACGTCAGCCTGGCAGGAGAGGAGGGCTCGCACCATGTCGTCCCGCTCGTGGCTGACCCCCAGCATCAGGGCGGTCTGGCCTCCCTGCAACCACACAGGGAAAGGCTGAACACCCCTTGCCTACAGTCCTGCTCATTCAGACTGTTATATATAACAGTAATAATGACTGTTATTATTGCATGTATATCATAAGATTGGGTATTATTATTGCATAGTACCTATAGCGTAATAACTCATGTTATTATTGCATATTGCATCTTACTGCCTGTTACTATTAAATAATACTGGGGATCTTTGGCAGGTATTGCAAGAGATAGCTGCTCACTTGCACCACGGCCATGCGGAGGGTCTTTGCAGCAGCACGGCCAAACAGCCCGGTTCCCAACTGCCCCCAAACGTGGGTTCCCCCTAACCCTCCTGGGCAGTTTAACTTGGGTCTAGACTAACTTTTACAGCTGTTTGGAAGAAGAGCTGGATGAGGGCACTGTCATCTCTGAGACCACAACGTGTTACCCTCTGATGAAACGACTGCTGGCCAGCAAACCTGGCGATCCTGTACCCCGGGGTCCACCCCGCACCGCTCCTCCCCGGTATCGCTTCTAATTTTTAGCTCAGAAAAACTGTTTTGCAAAATTTTCACCCTTCTTTTAGTCTCTTCGTTCTATCCAGCTCTCGCATCCCTTCACAGGGAGCTGGTGGGTGGTCACGCTGCAATTTAGCTGAGGTTGCTTTTGTAATTTTTGGGAAGCAGCAACCCCAACTCGACATCTACTGCTGCGTCTCAGCCTGGTGCTGCACATGCAGCGTAAGGAACCCGAATTATACCCCGTACCCCAACGCCAGAGCTCTGTGGGGACATGATGATGCCACCGCCTGAATTGGCGCTGCACAGCGATGGCCGTAAATAGGAGGCTACGAGCTCAGCAGGAGTCACTTTGCAGATGCCTTTGCCAAATAAACACCCGCTGCAGGCTGACTGCCCTCCGCCCGCAGCCGTGGCAGGATCCCACGCAGGGACCATGCTCGGTTTTCAAAGAAACAGCAGAACTACGGGGACGGACCTGGGCAGCTCGCAGGTTGACGTCCCCCTCCTTCAGCAGCTTCATCACCACCTCCATGTCCTCGCCCGTTTCGGCGGTCGCCAGCGGGGTGAGCATCACCGCCGTGTAGCCGGCGCGGTTCTGCAGGTCCAGGCGGCACACGCCTGGAGGGCCACGTGTGGATTCAGCCCCACAATGAATCAGCCAGAGGGAATGGGAAGCAAAAAGGGAGTTATAAAATATGTGGCATCTTATATTCCCAGAAACGGGAGTTTCCATAATTATACAGGATTGAGATTTATCTATGTTAAATATCCAGCCTTGTCAACACAGCACAAAACAGCCCTTGGTGGTACCCATTGCTACAGTTAATTACAATGGCTGAGGTCAACTCAATTAACTTTGCAGACCATAACCAAAATAAAACAAAGGGGGATAATTAATGCCTTGGGCACACGCCAGTTGTGGAGCTGTGGGCTGTTTGCTTCGACTCCTGCAGCAAGGGAGCAGCAGAAAGCTGACCGTCACCCAACGGGCGCTGTGAATCCATCCTGGCCCCGTTTCGCTCACTTTTCACCTCAAAAAGCCTATTTCCAGCTCCGCCATGAGGAACGAGCCGTGTCTAACGGGCGAGGGCTCGGGTCCAGCCTTGCCCCGGGGACTCGGCCTCCTCGGGCACTCAGCAGCAGAAGGGGACAAACCGCTGCGGTTCCCTGCTTGGCTGCGGCAACAATCGTGTTATAGAAGTGTATGATAATCTGCCATTTCCCTAACACTTAACAGATTGTCTGGCCCATGAGAAAAGGCCAAAGTGCCTTTATTCTCTCGGAGCACGTGTGCATTTTTTTCCCCCGTACAAGCTCAGCTGAGATTTTTCATTCTTTACAACACAAGCTGAAAGTTCAATAGTTTAACATGGAGTTTTTCTGCAGTGCTGGGGGGGGGTTGTTACGCTCTCAGGGGTCTGATCTTCTTGCTCCAAGCCATGATGTGGCATTTGCTGCTACAAGAAGCTGGGGGAGCCACCCCATCACACCTGGACTGGGGCCATGAGAGGCACCGCTTGGCCACAGGAACCCTGAGCCATCCCCAAAGTCAGATGGGGAAGCCCTCAAGCTGTGTCAGGGCCCTGCGGGCACTGATGACCCTTAACGTCCCTGAGGAGCCTCAGCTGAGTCCCCTGCCCACACCCACGGGCCCAGGGCTGAGCTATGAGGGCGGATGCTTGTCTTCAGATCACCCATGTCTCCTGGGTGGACCTTGCCTCCATGCTTGTCCCTTGGATGGACCCTGGCCCCCACATTTGTCTCCTGGATGGAGCTTAACCCTATGCTTGTCTACTGGATGACTCCGTTGCATGTCGGTTGTAGTTGGTCCTCAGCCCCACCTCCTTTTGCTCCTGACTGAACTCCTCAGGAGGACTTCAGACCACATTCACTGTTTGCCAGGTTTGGGACTGTTTATGGATCCCTCCCCCCCATTACCTGGCTCTGCACACCGTGGTCATCCCTGTGGAACCATTCCCAATGGGAAAAGCGACGTAAAGTAACTTCCACACCCATACCCACCAAAAGCCATGGCTGAGCAGAGTGGCTGTTCCTACCTGTGTCTAGCAGGAGCTTTGCAATTGGGAAGTTGGAGTGGGAAACGCTGTAGTGAAGAGCAGTGTTGCCGTTCCTGTCGGCCAGGTTCACCACCATCGCCAGGAGTTGGGGCTGGATGGTCCCCAGCGCCTCGAGATACGCTGCGACCACCTCCGGGCTGGAAGACTTGCGGCTCGACACCTGGAACCACTCCTGGCAGACGGTGCTCAGGACGTGCCGCTGAAAACACCAAGGTCTCACCGTTACTCCCGGGGCAGTCATCCTGCAAACCGGTCGCTGCCCCAGCTCCTCGCCCCCCACCGCGGCGTGCTGCGCTCTGCCATCGCCCAGCCGGTATTTAGCTTGTGGTTTTGTGATTACTGCTATAACTTAGAAAGGAAGTTCCTGTGGTTACTTGAATGAGCAAGCAGAGAAAGCCTTCCTCTTCTTTCTTTTTCCCTTTTCCTTTCTTTTTGGCTATTCTCACACTGACTCAGAGGTCACCTCGTCCCCCCCTCTCCTCACAAAGCTGTGGCACGGTAGGGCACAGCCTGCACCGCATCGTCGGGATAATCTTATCTATGAAACGTAACAGAGAGTGGGAACCACATCTGAAACAGGGCTGAAAAATATCTGTACCAGATGCTTGTCACTTGTGGTCCTGATTTCGGAGAGGTGCTTGCTGAGTAGCTGGCAGTAGGCAAGGAAATCTTCCGAGGGTTTGCATCTAGAGGGAAAATACTTTGGTAAATCCATCGTGGGACAGAGCTTGCAGGAGGTATTGAAGCAGGAAGGAGAACATGCAGTTTAAGTCAGAGTATGTTCAACACTTATTTAAGTGCTTAACTTTATGGACACAAGTTGTCCCACTGACTTAACAGAGATTTTAGGTACAAAGTTAAGCACTTAAATAAGTGTTTGAGTCCCGAGTCCCAGATCTGTATGGTCAACTTCATCTGTTACAGGAATCCTTGTAAGTGGGGGAAAAAAAACTTATTCCTGAAGCTGCAAAGAACTTTACTGAGAAACTTTACACGAGAGGGGAGAAATGAGCTAATTCTCACCAAATATGACTCACTCGTCTTTTCTGCAGTCAAGTGTAGGGCCTGAATCAATCCCCATTAGATTCTGTAGTAACTCAAAAAATATTTCACTCCTTAAAGCCTTTTCCCACGTCTACAGAGGTCAGCAGCTGCCTTTCCACCAAGCAGATGAAGCCCCGACCCCAGCCCCATAGGAACGACTGAATGCAGAGCCATGTGTCCTCTGACTGCAGAAACGTGATGGACAGCATGATCCCGGTCCGGTTTTCTGGTTACCTGTCAGCCTTGTGCTGGGGGCAAGGCGCTGCTTCTGCCGACGGCTCCTGCAGGTCATCGTCCTCACGGACCTCCTGCGAGGAGGTCCCCGACGAAGCCCCCTTGCTTTCACCTCCAGTTTTCCCCTGCGTGGGCTCCAAATCATCGTCCTGTTTCTCCGTCTCGCTCTCCACATCGCCGTCCGATGGGCTGTCTTCGCAACTTGTGTCTTCGCTTGAAGTCGTTTCGTAGCTATTTGAGGACACCACATGTTATTCACTCCTTCCCCGTCTGCAACCAAGACTCTTTGAAGACACCCGTTGACTCCAACGGGCCTTGCACGAAGCCCGGTGTGATACGCAAGTTAAAAGGTTAGAGCCACAGCCAAACTTGGGCTCAGTCTTTTTTTGGCTTCTTAAGGCAGCAGGAGCGTGACAGAAGCAGTTAATTAGCAGCAGGCAAGGTTACTTCAGGGACTACTCGGTTGGTTTGGAGGGATGTCCATGGCACGAGCGCCAGCGTGGCCAAGCAAGGGCTGTGTCCCTGCCGGCACGCTGACGGGGAGCCGCAAGGAACACGGACCCTGCGGCAAGGTGGGACGGGCAGCATGTTGGCAACCTTGAGGACCGCTAGACAGAAACTGTGTTTGCAGCTCCAGCATGGACCTGAGACCACCATTTGGGCAGCCTCGCTAGAAAGACCTCTCTTCTGGTTGTCCAAAAGTATTAATAACATCTTCCACGAGACAGACCATTTCACTCTGAGGGAATCCCAAAACTTTTCTCAAACTAGTCCGAGATTCCTCTACTCGCTACAAGTTGTACCCATTTCAGCAACTGTTGGTAGAAGCAGCTCTACACAACAAGAGTGAGTAACACTTGATGAACCCAACAGCAGTAGCCATCGAGCTGGGAGGTCAGAGAAGCGTATGGCAGCAGAAACCAGCATCCAAACTGGCACACATAGCTGTTTGCACAGCGGAGGGACAGTGAAATGTGTCCTGCCCTCTTCACGCCAGCACACATGCTCCTCGGTAGAAGATGCGCCCGTGCTGCTCTTAGAGATGCATCTACAGCACACGTTGTTGTGTCCAGTTAGCTCAAAGGCCAAAGAGGGGATACACAGGGAACTGGGTGTTGGAGCACAACCTACAATACAGGTCTCCTTCACCCCGAGGTAACTCCTTATTTACTGAAACGGTCTTTTCTCAGTCCCTGAACCAACTTTCGTTGGCTGTTGCTGGAGCGTGGAAGGCAGGTTAGTGGCAGCGTGCCCACCCAGGCGATGCTGACCTCCTCCAAAACCCACCCAAGTCAGTGGGAATCTTCCCATGGACCCAGCTGGGTTTTGGATGAAGGCCCAGAAGATGGGTGTGCAGAGAGTGTCAGTCCCCAGGGTGTCCCTCGCTGCTCTGAAAAGACCACCATCTTTTCTACAGGGTTACTTACAGGTGCTGGATTAAAGAAGGGAGAAAAGAGGCTCCATTTGAAATGGCCTTTTAATCAAGAGGTTTGGAGGGCGAAAGAAGGAAAAAACCAGAATGACTTCTTCAGCGATACAGAGGACATTACATGTTAAAAAGCGGTTTTATCTTCTGAACGGATGCTTACCCACCATTTACCCCAACAAACTGAAGATTCTTTTTGGTCCCATTGCCTCCTGCATGGAAACCATAACCTTTCTTTTTCATGATGGATTTAAGACTTGTGGTTGGAGACATTTCTAGCAAAATACAAAATAAGAGATTAATTAAGCAGATGTGCCATAATTATCAATAATTATTCCCAACCTCGAGCAACAAACTACAAATCGTAACTGTAAGCATCTTACTTCATCTCATGAGAGTCTTTTTATGCCTTGCAAGACTACGGATGCACCCGGCCACAACCTGAATCTGCCCTGCCACCTTTTAAATACGGGTCTCAAACATCTCTAAGTGACTGGGAATATAAAGGAAGTGACTGGGAATTATATATACGTCCTATGAATATAAGTAGGTTTTTGCTTTTGTAATAATAATGTTTTCTTGTTTATTTTTTTCCAACACTACTGTGTTGGAAATCTCCTATATAAATCTCCTATACTACTACATGGATAAGTCTTTCCATCGGACTTTGAATAGTCTCACTATGTATTGCTTATAAGTAATAGGTCACTTATCTATTTGCAAGCCCCCCCCCCCCCCCCCGACAGCGAACAGGCAGCCTTTGGGTTTGGATTCTCATCTTCATATAAGCTAAAATTCTTTTAGACGTACGGCTGTGAATGGGGACAGGTCTTTTTCCAGCCTAGTTGCTCAGTTAGCTGGAGTTGGTTTTAGTTTTAGTGGACTCCAAGCTGATTTACCCCAGATGAGCATGAGTCCCATGTTCCTGCAAATTGAGGTGTCCAATCCAATTAAGAAAAGTGGTTATTTGGTGGAATAGCCACAAGTACGGCCACTTTCGGAAGCTGATTCTGTGTATAACTGAGCCACAGCTTTATCAGCTCCTACATCCTTTTTGTTTGCTTTTTTAATCTAAGATCACATAGCTTACGATGTGCAGAGATTTGCCTTTCTCATACATCTCATACTAATTACACCACCGCATCATCCCTGCTCAACGCTTCAATAAGTGGGAAGAGATTTGGCCCGGACACGTTGAAACCTATGCCAGTATTATTTACCCAACTGTTGATAGTGTGTGTTCGAATTCTCCTTATCGGCCGGCCCTCGCGTAGAGTAGGCAGACAGCAACGAGTTTAAGGAATTAACTAATTGGTTCTGAATGGAGCTGAGCTTGGAGGCCGGCTGTTTAATAGCGCTCGCTAACTCGGGGTAGCCGTGCTCCAAACACAGCCACTGCTCCTGCAAAAGCTCCTGGATTTTTTTTACGTATTGGCCGATGGGGTCAACAGCAGGGAGATCCTCATGGTCAGGGGGACCGTCCTCTTCCAGCCCATCTCGAGGTTTGGCTTCTCCAAAGCCTGCCTTGTTTGCACCTGCGTTTGAGCCAACTCCTGTTCCTCGATAGCTTTCTGCAGTCGCTGCGTGAGCAGCGAGACTTCGGGTATCGTAGTTATTCCTGTGATTTTGATTGTCATCGCTGAGGTGCTCGTCAATCTTCAGCCGGGTGAAGCACGATGCATGAAGTCCAGCCTCGACGTTGGCTTCACCAAAATGTCCGGGTCCCTCTCCACTGCCACTGGTGCAAGCGTCTGCCAGTCCCTCACCCCTCCGAGCACCCAGCTCCATCGCCTGCGTGTTCACGTTGTCTGCTCTGTGGACGCTGCATCCTATGGATTTGGTGGCGACTGGGATATTTACGTTGATGCCTTTATCATGGGCTTGCTTGGCCCCGGGTACCTGCCAGAGGTCGGTGTTCACCGCAGCATCGTAGCACTGCAAAGCCCCACCGCTCCGCCCGGACGGCGGTTTGGCCTCTTTGGTGTTTTCCTGGCGCAGCTTCTCTTCCAGCTGAGCTTTGGAGCTGGCCAGTAACTTAATGCTTTTCTCCTTCTCCTTGATCTCATGATCCTGCTGCTCCAGCACCGCCCTGATCTGCTCGAGTTCTTCTTTCTTCTTGCCCAGCTGCTCCTCCAGCACAGCAATCTGCTGCTTCAGCGCGGCAACCCTGCCGGGCTCTCCAGCATCACCAGGCTGAGGACCACAGCTCTCCTTCTTCTCTCCAGCCCAGACGCTCCCCTCCTCCGCTTCCTTCAGCATGTTCGGAGCGATTTCACTCACGCTTAACTCCCTTTCCCCAGGGTTCGTGTTCTCCTCTGTGAGCTGGAGGGTAGCCG